CAATATGTGGAAGCTGAACCTCTGCATGGCCGAGATCAACTACATTGCTGAGGAGATGATCGCCACGTACCAGCTGAACGAAGATCAGCAAAGGTAAAGTTGTCATCCCGGTGTCTGTCTACAATGGTCGCTTACGCGTTCGAATTTCTTGTGCAGTGTGTTACAAGCGTGTCTCACGTGGTTCGAACCCATCGACCACGAAGTGACTATGGACAAGTCGCTACCCATTGCTCTGGTCCACGGCGTGTTCGGAGCGGGCAAGAGTTTTCTCCTGGTCGTGCTGGTACGCTCGCTGTTGACTGGACTGCAGCCCACGAGCCGACAGCTGACTCCACAACCTGCACAGATCGTATTCATTTCGCGCGTCCTTGACGCCGCTGACAATCGAGATATCCGCATACTGGTAGCTTCGTCTACCAACACTGCAGGTACCACCTGATCGCAATCTCTTCCCTAGTAGATTCGTGTTGTTGACATGAATGACCGTTCAACAGTGGACCGTGTGCTGGAGGGCTTGCTGGAACTGGACTTCAAGGATTTCATGCGCGTCGGCAGTCTCCGTAAGATCTCCAAGCGCGTGATACACCATGCGCCCCAGGCGGACGGTATCCTCTTCCGTGCACTTCGAACGTAAGCGAGCGTTGGCCAACTGTTTACACTGCGCCGGCTTTTGTGTTCTCCAGAAAAGTCAGCCATCAAGGACTTGAAGCTCATGCTCAAGGAAGAGGCGGGTGGCGTTGGTACGTTCTACTTATCGCCATCTGCGTTGGTTCAAGCCCAGCCTTTGTCGTTCGCTCACTTTGCCATTGCTAGACGAGATGAAGATCAAGACCATGCTCAAAGAAGCCGAGACGGGGCACATGAAAAAGAAGGTGGAGAAGATCTCGTCCACCCGAGTAATAGGTACTCATTTCTACATTGCCTTGCATATACTGCTCCGTTTTCTCTTCCGTTTTTTCAATGACTGAGCAAGTGCATGCACTTGCCAGGCGTCACGTGCGCGGCATCTGGTTTCCCCATCTTGGACGGCAGCACATTTCCGCTGGTGATCCTTGATGAGTGTTCGCAGATGCTCGAACCGCATTCGATGATCCCCTTGGCTCGGTTCAACTGCCAGAAATTGGTAACGTTCAACTCTACCTGAGTATCGTTCATGGTCAACTCGTTAACTCGTTTGACGGCAACCAACACAGATTGCAGTCGGCGATCCGCTTCAGCTGCCGCCGGTGCTTGAGAGCTTTGCCAATAAGGAAGACGGGTTGGCCAAGACTCTGTTCATTCGTCTCTCCACCATCGGATTTCCACCGATCATGCTCCGCACACAGTATCGGGTAATCACCTGCCTTACCGAACCGCCACACCAACCGGAAGCGTTAACTTGCAAACGTTTGGTGTTATGCACTTTGCAGTGTCACCCTGCCATCAGTGGAATCGCCAACAGGCTCTTCTACGAGGGCAAGCTGTTGGACGGAGTCACTCCAGAGCAGCGATCTCCGCTTCTGCCCACTCTACCCACTCTCTACTTTTGCAACTCGCTGCGTGGAACGGTATACTCTTCCTTTTACTCAACTCAAACTACAGTTTGGTCACCCGCAACTCACGAGGCCTACAGGAAGAGCGCGCTGGCAAGAGCTATCATAATCCCTACGAACTCGGGCTCATCGTGGAGATGGTGAAGTCGCTCATCAACTGGGGGATTAAACCGCAACAGATCGGCATCATCGCTCTCTGTACGTCCGCTGCGAAACAACACTGTGTCACCTGACTGCTCATTCTTCGTTCGCAGACAAGCCGCAGGCCTACAAGATTGAGACGGCGCTGGCGGCCGTCAAAGCCACGGACATCTCCGAAGGTGTGCATACCCGAACGTTGGCCCACAGCCCTGGTCTAATAATCGGTGCCGCGCATCAATGGGGACAGAATATGTGGAGGAGCTGCTGAACCAGGCCGACGACATTGAGATACTCGAGGAGGACGAAGAACGGCGGCGACAAGTTCGCGGCAAGCAGTGGCAAGAGAAGCAACGAAACAAACTAGTGGCCAAAGAGATCCAAGTATGGCCTTCGTGATCCACTCTCAGTGAGTGCGGTGTTGATGCCATGTGTTGCGGTGGCCGTGACGGCGGGGAACAGGTGAGCACAGTCGATGCTTTTCAAGGGTCTGAGAAGGAGGTGATTATAGTCACCTGCGTGCGCACAACGCGCCTGGGCTTCATCGATTCACCCAAACGGTTGAATGTGACCCTCACCCGAGCCAAGAGGTATGGCCTCGCTTGTTATTGATGCCGTCTTGAGCTCTTCCTTGTGCTGAGGCAAGGCTGGGCTGCTCACACGCTTCGTTGCAGGCATTTGATCATCGTGGGTAATGGCAAGGTGCTCGCGGGCAATCAAACCTGGACGACCATTTTGTCACAGATCGAAGTACACCCCTGCTTGCTCCGTCGACACACCACACACCAGGCTGTTTCTGCGAGTGCTTACCTCTGCCCTCATGTACGTCATCAGGCCAATGGCGTCGTGCAAGACGCAGAACATTTCCTGCGCACTGGAGAGTTCAGTAGGACCGGACTGAGCGCGGGTGGCGCGGCGGGGAGAGGAGGAGCACGAGAAGAACCTGAAGAAGACTACGAACACGAGATCATGGGACGACACGAGGAGGAAGGTGACAACGTGGACGAGGAGGAACATGACATGATGATGGAGATTCAGCGAGAGATGGAAGAGGAGGAGCGTGAACATCGACGAGTCCCAGCCCCAGCCGTGCCAGGCCACCTGGCTCGTGGGCCAGCGAGGCAACACCAAGACCACAGCAACGAGAGAGACGGAGGCGGCCAACCACCACCGCAGCCGTCAACGGAGGAGCGGGTGAGCGAGGAGGAGTGGGCAATGCTGGCAATGCTGGAGCAAAGCGAGGCCGCACCCAGCCGGTCTCTGGAGGAGGAAGACGAGGTACACCTTGGACAAACTACGGCAACGAGCAGTCGGAAGGAAGATGGAGAGGACGTGACGATGCCTGAAGAAGACAAGCGAGGCGAGTGTGAGGAAGGTCGAGAAAGGGCAACAAACGAGGCCAGTGAAGAGAAGGGCAACGAAGCCGCCGATGGTTACGATCCAGCGGCCTCCGAATGGTCTCTCGGCGACCTCGACCTGTAATGTCGAGAATTGTGCTTGGAAAGCTCAAAAAGGGCATGCCACCCGTTCCGCTGCATACTTTGCATTCCCTTTTTCTTTTTCTATGTACATTGGCATCCTGGAGGGGCGGTGGCTGCGAGTGCTGTGGGTCGTTGTGCAGGGGGGCAGCTTTGCTGAAAAGATAAATGTTTGAAGGAGGTCGGATGGTGCCGATCCATCTCATAGTGCTCACATGCCTTTCCGTTTTGATGCTTCTGTACTTCGCTTCACGAGAAGGCACTTCCTCCCCGTACCTGCACTTTCTTTTTTACGATGTAAGAATTATTTCCATTTTTAATTTATCCATTATTTATTTTCTTTTTAGTTCCATTTATTCATCTGTTATCATATATTTATTTGATTTATTGCTCCTTTTGGTGCAGAGGTGGACGTGGAGGCGCTGGTGGCGCGAACGGTCAAGGAGCAGCTGGCGCAGGCGCAGGCAGAACTCGTCGGCGAGCTCGACTTACGGGAGAATCAACACGACAGCGAGCTGGAGGAGCGGTGGACAAAAGAGATACAGGGAGCGGAGGCGCGGCTCTTGGCGGAGCAGCAGCGCCAGCAGGAGCTGGAGAACGAGCGACGACAAGCAGAGCAGCGGGAG